CAAGCGTGTCTGTAATCATGCTGTCCATAGTCGACAGCACAAACAGGCACACTGTCCTTTTAAACGTGCCTCTCAACACATTAGAGCAGGTGCATGTGTCTCAAACGCAAGCTATTAACAGCCAGCGTTTACATTATATATATGATTACAACTGAATGATTTCACATGCACGCTGCCTTTTCATGTTAAACTTTGTAAAGAAGTGAGCCAAAATGTTGCAGTTTTTGCTCATATTTGAATCCTGGATTTGTCTCTAGAAACCGAACATTTTTCGAAAGCTGGTATTTCGGTGCACTATTAAAATGAACACTACTTATAACTGCTATTCCCAGACTGACTTCAGCCGATACCTCGGGGATCCATAAGGCACAGCTGACGTGGACCCACTTGGTTCCACTGCGCGTGGGTTTCAGAGCTCCTCCTCTCCTGGGACAAAGCAGACATTTGGGCTGCACTCCGAGGGCACAGATTCGGCACAGCCAGTTACCCTGCGGCACCTTCAAGATCCCGTAACACGCCTGCAGGAGGAACAAAAGCATGCTTTCCGTCAACACAACCAATCACTTCCACAAATCAACACTGTTACGTCATCAGAATAATCAGTTTCTGTTGATACTTTCATTGGGGTTTAAATTTCAATGAACGGAATTTAAATTAAAAGCTTATTTTATTATGTGAAGCAAGTGAATGTCATAATCTTAAGAGACAACATCCAAAAAAATCTGAAAACGAGGGACCGGATTCACAAAAATGTTGTTGAGATAGAAGTGAAGATATTTCATATAGATAAATTCTAAGTTCGTAAGAATGTTTTTAAGTAAAAAAACTATAAAGTTTGCACATATTTTCTTCTTTTGAATCAGCGAGTTGTTTACTGGCGACTCGCTCGAACCGGATCTTTTGAATCAGCGAGTTGTTTACTGGCGACTCGCTCGAACCGGATCTTTTGAATCAGCGAGTTGTTTACTGGCGACTCGCTCCGAACGGATCTTTTGAATCAGCGAGTTGTTTACTGGAGACTCGCTCTAACCGGATCATTTGAATCAGCGAGATGTTTACTGGAGACTCGCTCTAACCGGATCTTTTGAATCAGCGAGTTGTTTACTGGAGACTCGCTCTAACCGGATCTTTTGAATCAGCGAGTTGTTTACTGGAGACTCGCTCTAACCGGATCTTTTGAATCAGCGAGTTGTTTACTGGCGACTCGCTCTAAGCGGATCTTTTGAATCAGCGAGATGTTTACTGGCGACTCGCTCCGACCGGATCATTTGAATCAGTGAGTTGTTTACTGGAGTAAACTGCGATTCATTACAGCACTCAGACCTCAATATAATCTGGATTGTTTTTGGATTAAATACCTGATGCACACAAACGTTGCACTTGTCACAGAAGACCATCTCATTACCGTCCTCCCCCTCAGGTGAGCGGCATACGTCACAAACCACGTCCTCGTCGTATTCGATACCCAGACCCTCCTCGGTCTCGATGGCCTGCTGCATGTTCTGCTGACACCTGATCTCCAGCTCCACCACGACCTGCTCCATGGCGAGCTCGTCCAGCTCTGGAAGTGCTGCGACACGCAAAAGAAACCACCTTGTGTTTATGGGTTTCTGCCACATTAGTAGGGCCCTATGATATCCGCGATGTGGAAAACAAACACGCAAATAAAACTCTTCACGGCAACCCGTCAAAATAAAAGTTCAGTTTAACTTGAAGAAATTGTGACAAAAATATTAGCGCTGTCAAACGATTAATCGCATCCAAAATAAAAGTTGTTGTTTACATAATATATGTGCGTGTACTGTGTACATTATGTATATATAAAAACACACATACATCTATACATTTAAGAAAAATGTTTTGTTTATATATAAAATATTAATATACAAGTTATATATGAATATAAAAATACATGTAAATATTTTTTATGTTTGTGTATTTATATATATTTTTCCAGTGACTGTTCAAATGTATTTGATGTCTGAAATCATTCATTCAAGAGATTCGTTCAAAAAGTCTTCATTCATTTATTTCAAATGATTCTTTACATAATGAATTCATTTTAATTTATTAGGATTTTTAAATAGACTCATTTATAATATTTAATAAAACATTTTGTCGGAACCTCGAGTAAATTAGACTATATTTTATTTTGTTTGGTTGTCTAATGTTTTGTTTTCAGAATCGAGGGAGAACCGTGATCTCCATTCAAAATATAAATGATCCAGTCATAGCTAAAAAAATACATCATATATCTGGCATCTAACTAATGCTATTAGCACTGTTTCTACAAGGATTTGGTACAATTACAATGCATTATAATGCCGCTTCTCATCCAGTGTGCGAAGTTCTGCAAACAACCCCCCTCTAGAACCAAATCCCCCGCCAAATAAAATCATTATTAAAACGTTATTTTTAAGGAATAATCATACAAATTTTCTTCCATGTTTTAATTAATTTTAACAGTAAACCTCTGCTGTGCAGCACTTTGTTTGACAAAAAAATTAAAGGGTTTGTTTAATTTAATTACATTTTGTTTAATTTAATTTTGTTTGCCATCATTTGATTGCCAGAAAAATGAAAGTACACAAAAACATTCTGAGAAAAAAAAGGGTTTTATTAAAATGTAAACCATTAAAATGGCAGAATAAAATTGATATGGAAAACAGAATTTGGTTAAAAAAAAATTTAACAGAATTTGAGAGAAAATGAAATTTATTTCATAGGTCCATAAAAATTTGATTTTTGTTAAACTTGTAATAAAGTAGTTAACTTGTAAAAGTTTTATGATTTCACTTAATTAGACATGCTTTTTAATTAATTAAATTTTAATTAACCATTAAAAAAAAAAAAAAAAAAAAAAGGAATCCAGTAAAATTCAAATGGAAAAAAAGAAGAAAAAAACATTTGGAAAAAAACTAAAAAGGATTTCATAGGGCCCTACTTTAGCACAGCGAAGATGAACAAAAGATGGATGAAATCGTGACACATCATAGTCCAGACTTGAACCTGTGAACTTCTGCTCAAACATGATAGAAATTACAACTAAATCAGGGCTTTACGCTTATTTATTTCTCAAGGAGCACATGCCCTTCTAAGTTGAAAAAATTAAAAGTATATCTCACAATTCTGATTTTATTTCTGGCAATTGCGAATTTATATAGAAAAAAAAGTTTTTCTCTTACTCTTTTTATTCCATGTTACCACTTTACCTAAAATTAAACTAAAAACAGAAAATGCAAAAATAAAAACTAATTTTAAATATCAATAAAAACTAACAGTATCTCAATGATAACTCAATGATATCTCTTTTATTGGCCTGTTTACAGTAACAACCTCAAGAGAAACATGATTCAGATAGTTGATAAATCTTACCTAGTTGTCTGAATTCAGTATTAACCAGTTCAAGCCAGGTCACATCCAGATCATCCAGATCGTAACAGCTCAACGGCTCAGGGAGACCATGTGACTCTCCGAAGCCAAACTCTGACTGGCCCCTGGTTTGGATCGGTGAAAAGAATGGGATTCGATTGACCTCCGGAAGCATCCTGGGAAAAAAATAGCACGCTTGAATGACCACAAAACTCATGCATCAAGTATTCAAAGGAATGTTTCAGCTTCAAGTGAAGCTCGACGGACAGGATTTGTCACATAATATACTTGATCCTTGATGCGGAGTGAAATACTGAGAGATCCAGATGTGAATGTGGCCAGTTTAACAATAACAACACATTAATATGGATTGTGCACTGAGAAATGTAATTTTCCTTCAACTTTAGACATATAAGAGAGCATATGTATCTTGAGCAGCTGTTCTTGTACAATAGGGGTGTTTCATTCTAGTTAGGTATTTTAGTTCAAATGTTTATTTAGTAATTGATTTATTTTTTTAAGTTAAGGCAGTCGGTTCAAGTATTTGTTAGCAAATGTGAGCCTGGAGCACAAAAGCAGTGTTAAGTCTCTGGGGTATATTTGTAGCAATAGCCAACAATACATTGCATGGGTCACAATTATAGATTTTTCTTTTATGCCAAAAATCATTAGGATATTAAGTAAAGATCATGTTCCATGAAGATATTTAGTAAATTTCCTACCGTAAATATATCAAAACTTAATGTTTGATTAGTAATATGCATTGCTAAGAACTTAATTTGGACAACTTTGAAGATGATTTTCTTAATATTTCGATTTTTTTGCACCCTCAGATTCCAGATTTTCAAATATTGTCAGATCCTAACAAACCACACATCAATGGAAAGCTTATTTATTCAGCTTATTTATACATGATGTATAAATCTTCATTTCAACCCTTATGACAACTATTTGTGACCCTGGACCACAAAACCTAAGTATTCCTAATATTTCTAATACCACATTAAGAATACCTCTCCCCCACCGAATACAGAACTGTATCGAAACCGTGACCCCAAAACCACAATAACGTACCGTGAGAAACTTGTACCGTTACACCCCTACTGTCCAAGCAAGAATTGCTCACGTCACAGAGACATATTATGGTGCAACACTGCATGCAAATTCATTCTGACATCGGAAAAAGGCATTTTTTCTCAATGCATTTCTGTTTGGGAAACACGTAACACATAAATCAAGAGCAAGCCTGTGACTCTCACCGAACTACAGGCTCGGGAATCGGTTCCACATTGGCTGGCACCTGAACACCCTTCTCCCATTCCTGCCTCCAGGGGTCGGAGAGGAAATAAAACTCCTCTGGGCTCAGCTGTGCCGAATCAGGCAACTTCATGGCTGTAATAAAATCGGTCCGAAACACCTGAAAGAACAGAACATTGGCAACATACAACATGAAAAAGCCCTTCTCGCCCTGGTGACATTTTCACTGGCGCAGAGGCATGAACGCAAGAGTTTGCCATGTCTTAGAAAGCAATTTTTGTGCCAAAATGCAAAAACATGTATGAACACACAGTTAGATCTCATCACAGAAGACCAACTTAGAAACAACTGCTTTTAAAAGTTAAATTGTAAAATGTTTAAATTTTTTCAAGTGGGTGACTTACCAAGAAAAAACATAGGGTGTTATGTGAGTTTATCCAGCGGTTTGTGAAAAGTGCAGTCCAAATGTGGTTTTAAATCAGACACATATTTAATATCTAGACATCTGACCTACAGCTAAACACATATATCCGACTCCATTGGAAGCCCAAGCCACCACAAGGCGAAGACGACACATTTACCAACAAGGATAAGTTTCCTTAATGTTGTATTAAATCAGCAAATTTTAACCTTCCATATTATTGACTCTCAGGTATATTTTACCAGCATTTTTTTTCCCCTGAGAAAATTTGCCATGTCCTGTACCTGATATATTTCCAAAATAATCGACGTGTGAAGGATAATGGAATCGAATGGTGAAATCTGTGTCCAAACCCAGCCCTATGAAACAGTATTTCTCACCTCAGACGGTTTCTTCTGCTCATGGCGTACCCATGTGCTGCTGGTCCCGGTGTTCTTTGAAGACCGTGACCAGGTGGTCACATGACCTGCAAGAGATTGAAGGCTCATAAGCTATGTTTCCATCCAAAGATGCAAATTTAACTTATGCGCAAAACTGGAATATTGCATAAAACATATGCGAATAAAGCATCGTTTCCATCCAACGAGTCAAAGAGAACAAAATCGTCACTTCCTGATAAACTGCCACTAAATATCTCTAAGAAAACTAGGAGAAGCCACTGAATATAATAATTTTCATATGTAATAATTTACTGGAGCTTCAGAGAGAGCAGGCGTAATGCGGTCATTGCTTTTAGAGGTGGATGCTGCTGTTTGGGAACGCAGTCGTGTGAGACAGTAATTATACAGAAATACTTTGACGACAGACTTTGCTCAGGCATTTCAGAACGACCAAAACAACATATAGATGCTGTGAACGAGATTGGAGCGCTGCTAGTCAAGTTATCCAGTCTCATAACGCAGTCACATGACTTTTTCAATGTGCATGGTGGAATTTATTCGGTAAATGTGTTTCCATCATAGTTTATGCGCATTTTTTCTTATCGGATGAAAAGTTTATCCTACTCAGTTGTGCGCATATGTTTTTTATGTGCATTTTTAGAATTTATGCGCATCTTGGCGTTCCCATCCAGCGGTTTTTTTTAATGCGATAATCCAAAATGCGCATAAAAATAGATGAATGGAAACGTAGCTATAGGTGAGCTTTTACTCGTCCTCATGCTCTTCCAAACCTGTATGACTTTATTTATGGGTTTGGAATGGAAGCAAACGATGTGGGCAAAATTTGGGGGTGGAAAAAAAACCCTGAATAAACTTTAGACAATCCTAAATAAACATCTGATAGTATGATCGACTTTATGCACGGTTGCTTCCTGGTTTTAGATAAGCCAGCTCAGTCATTTACGGTCAACTATTAAAATCAACTGTGCTATCAGGGGAGCGCCCTTCGCTCGGTTTCTCTACATAATCCAGTCACAGTTTGAAGAAAAGTTTTGTTTGTCTAAGAGGACCAAGCGTCTATGTATACAGTTTCAGGAATGACAAACGATCTGCTAAATTGTTCTGTGAGTCATTGCTATTATTGACTGATAACTGTAGCAACGGACGGAAAGAACCACCAGCCAAACCGATGTCAAAATTGAACGGTGCATTAAGTGATGCAAAATAAATTAACAAAACTACAGCAGCAACAAGTCTGCTGGCTGAATATATTCAGCAGCTTCTACAAGTAAGCATAACACTTTTTTTTAAATAAATCTTAAATATATTTCAAAATAATTCATGCATTATTATTTAATTGTTATGCCATTGATAATTAACTTACTTAATTTGTAGTTAACTAGTTAAGTATTTAAATAATTTTTAACTTTGACCCTTGAACTACCATTTTATGACTGTATGAAGGATGACTGTATATACTGCCATGAGACACCTGTACCAAGGTTTTGTTATTGTAAAACTATTTTAAAAAGTTTTTTTAAATTATAGTCAGTTTATAATAAATCCAAAAGCAAGACGTGAAAAAACAAGTTGAAATAGCAGCTGAGCTAATGAGTGATCCGCTGCTGCCATCTACTGGTTATAATGCTAATTTCATGTCATTTTCATCTTAAAAGTCTTTGTTTTACGCCAGGAGACACATTTTTGGCACATTTTTTCATGTCATCTTCATGAATCAAAAGTGTATTTCACTGCACAGCTGATGTTATGAAGAAATAATAAAGGCTTTAAAATATTATAAGTGTTTTAAAAATGAGTTTGTGACTATGAAGGCAAGTTATTGATTATCAAGAATACCATTATGATGTCGTTTACGAGCGATAACGTTCGCCTAAACAGTTACGATAGTGTTTAGTTAGTTGTCAGCATTTAAATGTACAATTACATATCTAGGTGCTCTCCTGGGATTACCAGGCTCAGCATATAAAATTAAATGTCGTTAAATAACATGAAACTGTATGTTAATGCCGCTATCATTATTTACGGTGTTGCAATTGTTTTGTTTCTCAGTTTCTGAACAGAACGAGGCAGGAGAGGTTTCTGTGAGCGTCTCAAGAGTCTCTACCTATATACACCACAACACCAAAGTTTAAAAATTAAGATTTCATTTAAACAGGTATTTTTGACCTATAATTCAGTGATGCTCATTAAAATGTATTGTGTGTCAGTTTGCACAGAATTGTAAGCTGTTGATTAACTGTTGCATTAACCCTATAAAGCCTACGGTCTCATATTTGATAAGCACATCTCAAAGGCCTCTAAATGATCAAAACTGTGCTAATAAACCTGTTGCACACAATCTACTACATGCCTTCTGATTGATAGTTTCATGCTTTTTCCATATAACTGTGCAAAAGTCCACCTGCTTCAAGTTTTATCAAGTAAACGTAAGAATATCTACGTAACTAATTTTTGAAGATGAACACTTACTAGACTAAAGAAACCCAGCTTTATTTGATTCTCCATGAATCACTTTTTAGAAAAATCAGCGAGTCTCAAATATGATCACCAGGGTTTTGAGGAACGTTTCATTGGATTGCATTGCATTATATGTTTTGATCATCAAACTAAGCATTAAATATCATCTTACTAAGACATATTATTGGCAGATACATAGTGACAGCTGATATTTATATGCATTTTATGTAAGTATCTGCTATACTGTTATAGAGATCTCATTTCATCTTCTTGTCCATATTTCCTTGAGAATGAGCTCCATATTCTCACTGTTTACTACTTTTTTAGACTTCATCTTGATCTAAAAAGATTTTATCGAGTGGTGAGAAGCCGTGTGTCTGTGTTTATCACTCACTGTCGGTGGTGTCAGAGTCGTTGCTGCTGGTGGAGTATTTCCTCCTCTTCATCTCACTCTCCATCTGTCGGCAAAGAAAGGATGAACAATTAGCAGACTCTGAAAAGATGGCAGAAACGCATGCAGAAAGCAGTGTGAAAGTAAGTGTGCTGGTGGAAATGTGTCAAAGACGAGAGAGGAAACACTTCATGTGGCCATAAAACGGGGCTTTTCCCTTTTATGCGGGTCTCTTCCTGTCGCCTCTCAACCCAATCTACACTTTACACGAGCGTGAAAACCCCATTCGACGATGCTGCTGACGGATCCGCTGCCTTCACTCCACATCGGGGTGATTCAGGGAAATAATCTAACTGCAATATTTCTGATAAATACTGTGATTCCAATTTTTTTTTTATTTTTTTTTTAAGTTTGCCGTGCTTGTTTGTAGGCATGTATCAGTACGGATGAGGGCTGTGCAATATGGACAAAACTAAAACTATTGCGATTTCTTTGATAAATTTTGCGATTTCGATTTTAATCACGATTTTGACACACACAGACATGCTTTACAATCATTAATGGATTCAGTGTGAATTTGAAACATATTTCCAAAAGAAAACCAATTAGAGCTTTATCAAAAAGCTGCAACATGTCTCTAGAACAGACATAAGGCAAAATAATCACTAAGTAAAGGTGTAACAAAATGTCTCTAGAATAGACATATGCCAGAAAAAAAAAATCCCCTAGGGATTTTTTTTGCCATGCATTGGTCATAAAGCTCTTTGTGGCGTTGCCTCAGATGTTGAACTAGATGTGTTGCGCCAAGTTCACACGTACTCCGTCTGCAGTATGTGTATGCGGTGCAGAAGCAGCACGGACTCATTTTGCTTTCGCACAGGACGCGTTTGCAGTCCGCTCCTGATCCGCGACTGTTAACCACAAACACAACATTTATCCATTATTTTGATTTCAAATCCAAACGTTGTTTCTGAAAATGCTTTTTCACCATTGTGATTCTCTTTTATCACAGTACAGTAATACAATCTTTCACTGCACATATTCACGTTTAAACTCAATAAATATAACTTTGTTTAACTACCACCACGAGTGCCATCTATTATTGCTTTGTTTATCTAAAAGTGCACTTTTCCTTGTTTTAAATCTAGCCAAAAAGCCAAGTGTTGACTGTGAAGCAGTAGACTTTAATTATATGCATTTATGGTGTAATTACTAAATTTCCATGTCAATCCATGTTAATTTTTACAGCGCATTATTCGCGGTAAAAATTAACATGGACTGACACTTTAATTCCGCGCATGCAGCACAGCAGAAATAGACTTGTGCCTGTGTCAAGCTCGTCCGTCCGCACTCATCCGCGGAAAGTGAAGAGGTCGGGGGCACGGAAAATCGTGCTATAAAGCGATTTAGAAATCGCGATTTTATGACGATTTCGATTAATCGCACAGCCCTAGTATGGATACATACATATAGCCATATTGATACATGGAAGTCAATGTCTACTAACTGTTTGGTTACCAACATTCTTCAGAAAATCTTGAGGGTGAGAAAATTATGACAGAATTTTTATTTTTGGATGAACTATCCCTTTAAGAGCTGCAAATGACACTGTTATTTTAACAACAGTGGCAGAAACACAGTGAGCAGCGAAATAGATTGATACGTTCGCTAAAAACACCACCGAAAGCGAGAATACAGAAATACAGTAATATTTATCTGTCATACATATATGACTCTGACCGTTCAAATAGACCAAGGTTTGTGACTAGACTTTTTTTTTTCCCATCTACATTTAGCATTATTAATCAGTTCAGAGTATAATTTCAGAATAAACAAGATGACACTGTTATTTTAACAACAGTGGCAGAAACACAGTGAGCAGCGAAATAGATTGATACGTTCGCTAAAAACACCACCGAAAGCGAGAATACAGAAATACAGTAATATTTATCTGTCATACATATATGACTCTGACCGTTCAAATAGACCAAGGTTTGTGACTAGACTTTTTTTTCCATCTACATTTAGCATTATTAATCAGTTCAGAGTATAATTTCAGAATAAACAATGTTATAACTGGGGAAATTATTTGTAGATAGCAAGGAGAGACAGCTACAACTTAGCAACGTATCAACTGCATGTGCTTTAAAGTCTTACCCGTTTAAACATCCAAGCGCAAGAAGACGTGAAAGAAAACTTTCGCACACTCTGAGAGACTGTTTTCTGTGTGCTCACACCCAAACGCGCACGTAAAAACGCCTCTGAAACTACAGAAATTAGTTGTTTTGCGTCTTATTGCACATAAATGGCCAAATACATACAATCCCCGTCAACACACATTCACGTAAACACAGTGGGTTTATATTAAACACATTCGGTATAAAGGCTATTAAGTGAATGTAAACAGTTGAGAAGCAAAACGCACGTGTAACAGTTTATTAGATCTGTGCGTGAGCTCTTAAAGAGACAGCAGCCTAATAGGGCTGTCAAAAAAATTCTAATTTCGAATATTCGTTGAATTTAAAATAAAAATCCACATTTGAATGCAAAAACACTGCATTCGAATTTTAGGTGTGCGTCAGGCAGTATTATCAGTGGCGCACGAAATGCGACGACGATGTGTCATTGCATTTTAATGCTCTTGTTGGCCTGTCCAGTTGAACCCACTAGATGCGGCGCTGTTGCGTTGTTCATTCAAAATATTGCAGAAAAAGAGAACAATAAATGCGGGGGAAGATGTTGCTTACGTCAAAACCGAAACCAAGCCGTTCACACAGAACGCATATTTATCGCATTTTCTAGAGGGACATCTATCAGCGTTGCACTCGTGTCTCGCACGAGAGAGCAGCATGTTTAGAAAGCCATGGAAAATTAATGTAAGTTCAACTTTTTAAAAACATGTCTCAAGACTTTATGGCGGTTTTCCCCATCCCACTGCATCTCATGTTTTTAAATGAAGAAAGTACTCTTTGTGATTGGTTTTCGGTCCTTTGTATTAAACTGTACATACATACATGATGCTGTTTTGTTTCTAATTGTTTAAGCAACTTTATTAATTATATAAGGATATATAAGGAACATTATTTTAAACATTATGCACTTTTTTCAAAGATAGTCGTGTTACTTTATTACGCTTTGAAGGAACGTGCATTAGTAATATTTTGCTCGATGCGTCCTCTTGTGGCCTCAGGAGAGAAGCCAAAAGCTTTTTTCCCCCCTTACTGAAATTAAGCAACACCCCAAACACCTTCACATGTGCTTCTCAAAATAAGTAGTAATTATTAAACATTATATCATAATATTTACTTCATGTTTTAATTTTAACAGTACACCTCTGTTGTGCAGCACTTTGTTTGCCACAAAATAAAATAAAAAAATATTAAATGTTTAAATATTATTATAAATATAATTACTAAATATTTACATTTTACTTTGATTACATTGAATCAATCGGTTTAATTTTTTGATAATAACTTTGTATTCAATCATATATTAAAAAAAAAGCATAAATTAAAAAATGGAATTTCTGAAAAGATAAAACATTAACAGTAGGGCTGGGCGATATGGGCAAAAAATTATCATGATAACATTTTCTCATATCAGTCGATATTGATAATTATCACGATAAATGTCAAATCTTTATTTCTTTCGAGTTTAAAGGCAGATTTTTGCTCCTAAGTTATAGAAACCAGACTGTTATTTGTGGTTTTAAATGACTCTTTATTGTCCGAGCATGACAAACATTTCATGTTTTTGAGTTCTTTACACTTTGTCATTTTTCCTTAACAAAATAAATATCTTAATATGAAAACTAATTTCTTAGTTTCTGCATGTTCTAATAAGTGATACTGTTTCAAATCACGAAGCAGGTCTGTGTTCCTGACTTTGACGCGTCTGCAATATTAATAATATTACTTTATTTTGTCTCTTAGAAATGCATATTTTACAGTAGTTTGAGTTTGGATGCAGATGCAAGTTAGTTTATGTACATTATCAAAAACAGCAACAGCTGTAAAAATTGTAACAACCTCGGTTTTCTATTAATTCTAAAATTAATTATTCCGACTGTTTGAGTTTTATTAAAATTAACCATTGGTTTCCATAGTAGCATACATTTAGATCATGATAACCACAGTTAAAACCACACACATTGCACTTCAATACCATGGTAAAAATGTAACTATATGGTTTCTGGGTATTTGTATGAAAAACTGTAGTCTAAATACATTTAGTATAAATGCACAAATGCTACAGCTTAATCACTAATACTCCTTTAACACATGCCTTCATTACTAATATTATAAAATTAAATATGAATATCCCACATTTCTGCAACAATACCATGGTGCAGTTAGTGTTACTACAGTAAATCCATGGTAAACGATGGCGATTTGTAGATTGAAAAGTCGTATCGTTGTGCACCGTGTTTCTCCTGTTTGTCAGCGCTGTTTCATGTATGAAAATTACATTTCGATAAATATCATCATTATCGTTTTATCGCCCAGCCCTACTTAACAGCATCCGTATTTTGTGTTAAAATGTTAAAAAACTGTTAAAGTTGCATGAATTCAATTAATTAGACATGCCTTTTGATTATGAAAATGTAAATAAACCAAAATGGAATCCATAATTTTTTTTAAAATTACACATATTTCTTGGGCCCCTAAAAGTGTAGAAACATCTCAAAGCTCATCCAGAGAAATTAAATCTAAATGTCACAGCAATGCAATTATTTAAGTATTTTCTGATCACAAATGGAGTGGAGTGCAAAAAAGTAACTTAAAGCAGTTTAGCATAAAGCTACAAAATAAAACGTGGCAAATGAGGGGGTCTGAATACTTCTGGAAGCCACAGTAAATGTACATATTCTGTGTGTCTGACTCTGGTTTATAAATCAAAGCACCATCTCTCTGGGTGAAAACACTCATCCGCTCGTCGTCCAGCTCGGTCAAACTGAGCACTACTGACAGTGAGCATTAGGACACATGCATCCCTCACAAACACTGGAGCTCCACCACGAGCGCGGCAGAGCTGTTACGCGGCACTAAGAAGCATGTCATGCACTGG